CGCTCCAGACGCACACCTGGCGCTCCTGACGCTCCCGACGCCCCTGGGGGCGCTCCCCTGGGCGCCCCCCGAGCTTCGGGAGCCTCGAGAGCCTCGGGAGGCGCTCCCGGCGCTTCCGGCGCTCAGGAGCTCCAGGAGCTTCAGAGGCTTCAGGGAGGTCGACGAGCGCGTTCCACTACTCGCAAGAAGAACTACTCGCAAATGGTCTGGATTCGCCGCGGGAATTTACGATCCACTGCATCGAGGCAAATACGTGTTTTTCGGACGTTTGCGAATAGGCACTTTGCGAGTACGTAGTGGAACGCGATCGGTGAGGAGGGTTGGTGGCGCCTGGTCTCTCAGCTATGCGAAACCGGCTGCATGCCGCAGATGTCGTGCTTGCCCTCCCCCCCGCTTCGTCCGACCCGACCTGGGCGTACATGCGCGTCTGGTAGAGCGTGTCCGGCTGCTGCCTCAGCGTCGCGTGTGCCTTGTCCACGGGCAAGCCGAAGACGACGGAGTGCGTCTTTGCAGACGCGGTGCCCGTGTGCACCCACTTCGCCCACATGGCTGCCTCGCACATCCAGCTCACCTTGCTGCCGTGGTCGACGATGACCCGCGAGCCCGGCAGAGCCAGCTCCATCAGCCCGTGGTTGACGAAGTACATCGCGGTAGCCATCTGCCCCACGTGGAAGAGGACCTCGCTTGGGCTCAGCAGCTGCTCCTGGCACGCCGTGATGCTCAGCGCCACCATCGCTGGCGCCTTCTTGGCCGTGAGCTGCTGGAGGAGCGGGTGCCTGGACGCGGACGACGACGGCGCAGACGAAGATGAGCACGATGAGGACGAGAGCAGGAGGTACAGTGCCAGGTACAGAGAACGAGGAAGGGTGGGAGGAGGACGGGGAGGAGGACGAGGAGGAGGAGCAGGAGGAGGGGGGAGGACAAGCTTGGTGCGCTCGCGTCATGTCTGACGTCCTACCTCTCCCTCCCATCCCTTACCATGGCGCAGATCTCCTCTCTATTCGCACTCTCTATTCGCACAGTCGGATTTCGAGCAGGGCAATAATCCCACAGGATGCGCTATACATCGTAGAGCACGGCATGGCAGGGCGCAGAAGAGCACGGCAGAGCGTAGTATGTCATAGCATGGCGTGGCGCTGCGCAATGAAGAATTGCATCACAAAGCATTGCAACGCAAATAATGGCATCGCACCGCGGCACATCACATAACATAGCATAGCATGGCGCTGAACGTCAAAACGTAGCATGGCATAGCATGGCGGGGCAATGCGTAGTCAAGCACTGCATATCCCAGCATTGCAGCTGAAGGCATGGCATCGCACAGCGGAACACCACATACATTGCATTGAATTGACACAAGCGCTGCAACGGGAGCACGATTCGGAACGAGCGGAAGCGCGGAAATGAGGCCACCGCTGCAGCGGGAGCACGATTCGGAACGAGCGGAAGCGCGATGCATCGTAGAACACGGCATAGCAGGGCGCAGAAGAGCACGGCAGAGCGTAGTATGTCATAGCATGGCGTGGCGTTGCGCAGTGAAGAATTGCATCACAAAGCGTTGCAATGCAAATACTGGCATCGCACCGCGGCACATAAAACAACATGGCATCGAATGGCGTTAAAGGTCAAAGCGTAGCATGGCATAGCATGGCGGGGCAATGCGTAGTCACGCACTGCATATCCCAACATTGCAGCTGAAGGCATGGCATCGCACAGCGGAACACCACATAACATTGCATTGCATTGGCGCCAACGCTGCAGCGGGAGCACGATTCGGAACGAGCTGACGTGCGGAAATGAGGTCACCGCTGCAACGGGAGCACGATTCGGAACAAGCGGAAGCGCGGAAATGAGGCCATCGCTGCAACGGGAGCACGATTCGGAACGAGCGGAAGCGCGAAAATGAGGCCAACGCTTCAGCGGGAGCAGCATTTTGAAAACACATCCAAGCGAAAACCCAGCTCTGGGGAATCCTGTGTGCAAACAAGCAAGACGCGGAGGGTGGCCGAACAGCTTCTGGACATCATCAGGGGAGAGAGGGGGGGGAGTAGTATTTATATAGTGTAATTGTGGAGGAGGAGGAGGAGGAGGAGGAGGAGGGGGAGGAGGAAGAGGAGGAGGAGGAGGAAGAGGAGGATGGGAAGAGGAGAATGAAGAGGACGAGGACGAGGAGACGGGCTGGGTTCACTACCCCTCCCCTTTGCGGGGGGCAAGGCTGGTAGCCTTATAATCGTGGGCACCACCACCTCCTGCCTCACCTGGCGCTGCAGTGACACTGGGAGTGCCTTCAGAAAGTCCACCTCCGATCCCAACTTGCGCCTGTTGGCGAGCTTCGAGCCAGCCTTCACGAAGGTCATGACCCGCATTGCCAGGTCGTGGCTGATCTCGTTCTCGCACATGTACACCTGCAGCTCCGACGTTTTCTTTTGATTCCAGTTCGTGCTCTTCCGCAGACGAGTCAGGGCCTCCGTGATGCTGCCCACAAAGGAAGAGAACACGATCAGGGCGGCCAGAACAACCGCGCAGGTGTAGCCCCGCTCGGTGGCATTCTTTGGCACCACCTCCATAGATGCAGGAGTGAATTGTGTGAGGCTCCAATGGAAGCTCGTGAAATCCGCCACCGAAGAGGAAAATTATGATGGGGCTGTCACCTGGCGCACTGAGACGTGGTAAAATGCAAAGTGCTGCCTTGCAGGGTCTCATTTTTGTCCATCAGCGGTTGGAGCAAGGGAGGAGATCACCCCGCAGGGCGTGGGGAGAAACGATGCCGAGCTCGAAAGCACAACTGCGGCGGCACGTTCGTATTACCTTACATGTCCACGCCGGGCGCTGGGAGGACCTTTCGGCAGAACTGCGCCTGTTACGGTTTACGCCAGCTGGCAGGTCAGGCCATGTGGAATAATAGCCACCTTTTGTTGCAACGGTCTCGGGTCAACGAAACATGCGGAAAGAAACAGCTGACTGTAATAGCAAATTCACGCGTCCATCGCGTGGATGCCTCAATGAAATCGCGGCTAAAGTGTGAACTCGCGCGCGCGCGTGCCCCATACGGGTCCAAACAGGCGGGACACGCACTGGTGCCCAACGCAAGTGGGGAGGGCAAAGAGAAGGGCAGAGGAGGCCAGGGGGGCGGAGGGGGACAACCACACGCCAGCACCGAGCGTCTCCGAGGATGCCCTTCGCGGACTCGTCGTCCGAACGGTCGGCACCAACAGAACCTCGCCACGATGCCAGAGTTTCTTTTTTTTCGACCGCACACTCGTAACGCAGCCGCAGTCCGACTTACGGTGCCCCTTCGAGTCTCAAGCACCGCCGGACGGGCCTGCTCTCCACCACCGCCACCACGACTTGGAGTAGGGTCGGGGGTCCTCCTCCCCCATCTACTTCGTCCTCCTCCTCACCCTCCACCTCCTTCCCGCCCTCCAGCTTGTGGCCGGTGGTGGTGGAAGACAGGCCCGTCATCGCCTGCGCGGGCGCGGGCGAGCAGACAACCGGCGCGCCACACGGCCCACTGTGACCGCTGCGCCTCGAGCGCGCGGCACGCAGCCCCCCCGCGTGCTCCGGCGTGGGCCGCGATGCTGCTGCGGGTGCAGGGCCGCGGAGCGAGGAAGGAGTGCGACGTGATGGGCCTGCTCACCACCACCACCACCACCACCACCACCACCACCACCACCACCACCACCACCACCACCACCACCACCACCATGAGTTGGAGGGGGGGGTCCTCATCCTCATCCTCATCCTCATCCTCCTCCTCATCCTCCACCTCCTCCTCCTCCTCCTCGTCCTCATCCTCATCCTCCTCCTCATCCTCTCCCTCGTCTACCTCCTCCTCCTCCTCATCCTCCACCTCCTCCCCGCCCTCCAACTTTCTGGTGGTGGTGGTGGAAAGCAGGCCCATCGCGACAGGCTCGTGCGTGCGCAAGCCAGCCTGCGGGGGGCCACCGCACGAGGCCCCCCCCCCCACGAGAACGACGGGCATCCGAGCGGGCACGCTCCGGCTCCGGCGGGGTGTGCGCAGCGATGCCTGCCCGAGCCCTGCCATGCAGGGGCGGGGGTGTCAGGGCTCGCACACCCTCCCCCCTCCTCCCTCCTCCCTCTTCTCCCTCTTCTCCCTCCTCCTTCTCCTCCTCCTCCCCCCCTCCTCCTCCTCCTCCTCCTCCTCCTCCTCCTCCTCCTCCTGCTCCTCCTCCTCCACCCGTGGGGCGGGCGGCAAAACACGACAATACTACAGGAAGAGGGGCAGGGGCGGGGAGGGGAGGGGGGAGCGCAGGCTGCCCAAAGAGCCCCGCGCGGGGCCCCCCAGAACATGCAGGACACTGCACAGGCGTGCGTAAGAGCTGCTCACCTTCGCGCTGCTCGGAAGCCGGGGCAGGACTCGGGGGAGGAGGGAGGAGGGAGGAGGGAGGAGGAAAGAGAGAGGAGGGAGGAGGGAGGAGGGAGGAGGGAGGAAAAACGAGGGAGGAGGGAAGAGGGAGGAGGGAGGTCGGAATGGGAGTCGGAAGCCGAGGCTTGAAACGAGGCCGGCGTGGGCGCCGGAGTCGTCGCGCCACGCGACGTGACTCGCGGAACTGGAGTCGGCGCAACGGTGACAATCAGAACTGGTGTCATGCAATCCTCCCTCGAGCTCGAGAGTGTCATGGTCTCCGGCTGGGGCCGACGGTGAAGTGGCGGTCTGAAGGGGGGGCGGGACTGGAGTCGGGGCCGGCGTCGGAATCACCGAATCATGCGAACCCTCCTCGAATGTGGGCGGTTGGGGTCGGAGCATCCTGGCCTCGGGGCTGTAGACTGAGCCGGCGTCGGAGCTGAAGTCGGAGGCGGAGCAGGAGGCAAAGCCAGGTTCGGAGCTGGAGTAGGTGCAGGAGTCGGAGCTTCCGTAGGCGCAAGAGTTGGTATCAGAGCTGGAGCAGGCCTTCGATGGGGGAGTGGGAGCAGGAGTCGAAGTAGATGTAAGAGCCAGGGCTAGGGTCAAAGCGGGAGCACGTGTCGGGAAGGGGGTCGTCGTCGGCCCGGAAAGCGAGCTGGTCGGCGCGGGAGTCGGCAAGCTGGTCGGTGCGGGAGCCGCCAAGTTGGTCGGCGCGGGAGTCGGCGAGCTGGTCGGCGCAGGAGTCGGCGAGCCACTCGGCGCGGGAGTCGGCCATCTGGTCGGTGTGCGAATCGGCGGGGGTCGGTGAGCTGGTCGGTGCGGGAGTCGGTGAGCTGGTCGGTGTAGATGTCGACGAGCTGGTCGACGCAAGAATCGCCCAGGGGATGCCGCCCTCTGGTGACTCGGACTGGTAAAACGAAGCCAGGAACAGAACATAATCGGATCGGCAGCACAGGCGGCAGCACGCAACGACAATGGAACGAACTTTCGCCGTTAAATTGCGATGCCGTCTTCGTCTTGCCATGTTGATCCACATGTGCGTCTCTACGTGGTCGCATCCGCGGGGCAGGCTGCACAAACGTCATCCCATGATGAAAGCCATGATGAGCCGACCAGCCAATCATCACCGACTTCTCCACAGAGTAGAAGTATGCGGAATTCGAATCGGATCGCTGGTGCACTGGTCGGCCATATTGCATCACTCACATTTGGACGCGCACGAACATTACACTTATGAGCGGAACCCTCCATCGGAGAGCCTTCTCGCAAGAATCCGCTTCATGAGAGTAGCGGTGATCAGTGAATGTATGTAGCGACGGATGCCTTATCCCACGTTGTGGGATTGTTCACTGCCACAGGCGGCTGACTCGTTCAAAAATCACGGCGCTTTCACCGCCGACTTCTGCTGCCGAATCTCTGTTCAAACTCTGTCAGAGTAGATGATCGCACGCCGGTTCCGCAGTGTAGCTGGCAACACATGAATCGGGGGTAAGAATAACAGCATTGGCTGTCGAAGTACGCGTCGGACCAAGCCGGGGGGGCACATCTGGCCCCCCTTCATCCGACCGATGCGAGCCGCGCGGCACCCTCGCCCGCCAATGCCATAGACGTCGATGGATGACGAACGTTTCTAGCAGGACTGCGATGAGCAACATGATGACGTGGTGGCTGTTTCAGGCCGTGGTGGCTGTGCGTGGTCGTGGTAGCCGTTCGTGATCGTGGTGGATGTTTCTGGTCGTTGTCACAATTGCTGTTCCTGGTCGTGGTGGCTCTCTGTGGTCGTGGTGGCTGTTCGTAGTCCTGGTGGCTGTGCGTGGTCGTGGACGTGGTGGCGGTTTCTGGTCGTGGTGGCCGTGCGTGGTCGTAGTGGTGGCTGTTGCTGGTCGGGGTGATCGTTCGTGACTGTGGTGGCTGTTTCTGGTCGTGGTCGTGGTGGCTATTTCTAGTCGTGGTTGCTGTTCGTGGTCGCTGTGGCTGTCTCTGGTCGTGGCGGCTGTGCGTGGTCGTGATGGCGGTTTCTGGTCGTGATCGTGGCGGCTGTTTCTGGTCGTGGTGGCAGTCCGTGGTCGCATTGGTGGCTGTTTTTGGCAGTGGTGGTTGTCCGTGGTCATGGTGGCTATTTTTGTTCGTGGTCGCAGTGGCTGCTTCTGGTCATGGTGGCTGTTCGTGGTCGCGGTGGCTGTATCTGGTCGCGGTGGCTGTTCGTGGTCGTGGTGGCTGTTTCTGGTCGTGGTGGCTCTTTGTGGTCGTGGTGGCTGCTTCTGGTCGTGGCGGCTGTGCGTAGAAGTGTTGGCTGTATCTGGTCGTGGTGGTGGCTGTTTCTGGTCGTGGTGGCCCCCTGGTGCCGGAGTCGATGCTGGTGTCGGAGCTGGGGTCGAAGTTGGAATGGGGGCCCGCGTCGGCCGCTGTTATCAGGGGTGCGTCGGGATTGGTCGGATCGGCTTTTCTCGTCGTCTAGGGTTCCATCTGTTGTCGGAGGTTCCCACTTCCCTGTCATGGCGTGTCGCCCACGCCCTCTCTCATCCACTGCGCGACCGCATCATGGACACTGGTGTCCTGGCTGAGCGCGTTGTGTCCGTACTGGTTGGTGGCGTTGTAGATGGCGTAAATCAGCAATGCGATGGGCGCGAGCCCCACAAGCGTGAGGGCGCTCCCGTTGCGCGGCAGAAAGGCATGGATATTGGCGCACGTGGAATTCCGCAATTTCAGCCTTCACTCCGCTGCGTGCTTCGCCCCCGGGCATCCGCAGTAATGTTCAATGGAATCCTCGGCGACTCCACCGCATCCCGGTTATGCGGTGAACGCCTCTGTTGGTACTCCAGATTTCGTAATAAAGGGAGGGGGGTCTCATGTCGGGGGGGGTCTCTTCCAGGCTATCTTGGAGGGCCTGGGGGGGTCTGGGGACGATGTTTTGGAGGGTTCTCCCACGGGGGAGGTCTGAAATGGCTTGTCTTGGAGGGTCCAGACCCCCTCTCTTTTATTACGAAGTCTAGAGTATCGTCTGTGCGTGCGCCACCGGCTCCACGAGGCGCTGCAGGCTGGGCCGCAGACCCGCGGAGGGACCAGGGCGGGCCTGCCAGGCCGGCGCACTCCCTCTGCAGCTCGCGCCTGGAGGCGGCGGGTGCACGGTGGCCTTCTGGAGGCCCCAGCGCGGGAACTTGCGACGAACGCGAAAAGTGGGGTGAGGGGGGGCGTCGTGTGCGAATAATACCAAGTGAGGCCGGCGCTGGAATTCTTTCCCTGGGTGTGGAAGTGTGGCCCGTCCACTAGGGTGCGTTGGTGTCTCCTGGTCGGCGCCGCTCCCGTTGTTCCCACTTTGGGCTGCGATGTCCTTGTCATTGTGTCCGTCGTCGCCCTCTGGCTCTGCCAGGTCGTTCCTGATGTCGTCGCACGTGCAGACATGTCGTGCAGACATGTCGTGACATGTCCTTGAGGGTGAGCGCAAAAGCCCTGGAATACCAATCGGTCCATCGGAGTTGGTTGTGTAGATGGCGAGGAAATCCAGGGCTTCCCGGAGATCCCGTACACCAGGCTTGTAGCAGGCCGACGTGCAAGCAGGATCCCACACGCGGACTCGAAGCTGCGACGCTTGGGCGACCAGGCGAACGCTCTGGCACGACGACGACTGGCCGAAGTGCTCCTTGAGAAGCCACAGATTGTTTGGAGTCGCCCATTCACCAGGTCCTTTGTGGGTCCTCCTGAGAGCGACCTCCTCCAGCGCCAATGTCTCTTGAGGAATATCTTTAGATTGGGTTATGCACCCCAGCGCAGATACAGCAAACGTGTTGTAGGCAATCGCGTGGAAGTGCGAGCCGAAGCCATTGTCTGACCAATCTCGACAACGCTGAACGCATTTGTTGCTGGGGTCGCGCTGTGACTGCGCGCCTCTGCCCAGGCCAGCCATGAAGCCCAAGTGCTTGCCGCAGTCTGCCACCGGCATGCTGGCCCACTACGGTGAGGGCACTGGATAACGAACCCTTAGATAAGGAATCCAGGGTTTGGAAGCCAGTGGAACTCCAATCGTGGATCGGCCATGGATATCACCGCCGCCCTCATTGGATAAGGGATCCTCCCCAGTCTGAAGCCTCCCGTGCACGTTCATTATCCAATGCCCCCACCGTAAGGCAAACGATGGTCCAAGAGAAATTCGAATTGCTCCCAGGTGCTGAGCCCGAGAGGGATGGTGACGCATCTCTGCAGGTGTAGGCACAGGCCTCAGATACCGGCGAACTCCTCGCAAAGGCGCTGCACAAGTGGCGCCTCTTGCCAGTAGCCCGCGAGCACCAATGCTGTGTCTTCCGCGCAGGCCCGAACCAGGATGTCAGGGCATTCCTGCTCGATGCGGCCCAGGAGCAGCTCTGCGACTGTGGCGTGCAGAAACGACGGGAGCGGGCCACCGTGCCTGCTTCCAAGCGACAGCCCGTCGCCGGGCCTGGCGCCGTGCCTTACCCTGCAGCACGAGTCAGCGCGCAACGCGCGGATGAGGTTCATGGCCTGGTCCGGCATGCCGGTCAACGATAACTCGGCGGTGGACAAACCTCCCTTTAGTAAACCTCCCCTTAGTGAAAACGGCCGGGGACCGAAACCGACGGACCTGGACCCGCACAATGACGACCGCGACGCCTTCTCGCGAACCGAAAACGGCCAATTCCTTGATCGACGTGTCAGGGTAGGAGGTCTGTCCACTCCCGAGATGACGCAGCGAACGCGACTTCCTGCGAGATGGAAGGGAGCGCCGCAGCAACACCCACCCGTCAGGAGACAGGCTCTCTGGTCTCCTGCTGGAGGGACGCGGTCATGCTGGAAACGTCCACGTCCATAACCAGCCTCGAACTTATCCCTATCCCTGAGATGGGCGAGCAAAAAGCGAGGACAATCTTAGGGATAGGCCCTCAGAAACTGAGGGAATCCTTAAGATCGGCATCGAGGTGAGGTGATGTCAAACACAGGGATAGGGAGATGTTTCAAACTGGTAAGTTCAGAAGATAGGCCAGGATGTCACGGTTTTTAGGTGGGACCCCCCGTTGTCTAGCGAAAATCAATTTCGCAAGGTGCTCCTCCCAGCGGTTGCGGGCCGCGCTGGCGACAGTGCGATTGTCGGCACTGACGATGTTCAGCGGCCGCGCGTTGGCCAGAACGCATGCCTTGATGCCCTCTTGAGTTGTGCTCGAGCTTTCCTTCGCACGGCAGACCACGACGGGCTCATCGTAATCGTGGGAGTGGCCATGGACCTCATCAAAGTAGACCCTTGGTAGCTCCTCCCTGCCCTGCGACCGCGCAAAGCAGCGTGCCACGTCGAACAAGATAGATACCCAAGGGGGGGCCAGAACACGTCAAGCGCCGAGGGAGGGAGGGAAGGACGGGGGACTCCACGCCCGAAATGGGCACGGAAAACATGGCACAACGCCCAACGACAAATGTTGCCCCAAACCAATGGCGGCCGCTGTTGGGCAGGCGGTCTTCTGTCTCAAATGGACATCGGCCGCGGCGGCGCGGACAGCGAGTCCGGTTCAAGGGCATCGTACCCATTCTTTCCGTACCCATGTCGTTCGTGCCGATGCGCCACTTCTGCAGGCAATGTTGGTTGGCGGGCTGCTTGCGGAAAGTCTGGGCCCCAGGGGGGCCGAACTCTTTCGCAGTGGACGCCGGGTCTGCGGCGCACTCGCCAGACGCTATCTCGACCGCGCCCGCGGTCGTGCAAGATCCGGGCAGAATGCGCTTCAGTCGGCTGAGGATGCCATTGTTGCGAACGGTGGTGTTGTAGTAGTCGTGGTCGTCTTCGTTCCGTCGTTGTCGAACGTCGCGGAACTCGCCTGTGATGCCCTGCCGTGCCAGAGAGACAGTGTGGTCCAAAACTGATTGGAAGCCCGTCGCGAAGCAGGCATTCGAGTTTCTGGGGCCGACGAAAGACGCAATGTGCGGGCATTCCAAATACTTGCGGTAAATCTCGTCCACGTTGGCTGTCTCCGCCGCACGAATCAAACTGAGAGTGCAGCTGAGTTTGTCGTCGTTTGTGGATGCTGTGGCGTAGAACCCTTCCTTGGCCATGTTTGCAGAGACCGTGCGCATGGCCCGCTTCACAACGACGAGCTTGACGAGCTTGCGAACGGAGTTGTCGTAGCTGCGGGGCTCGTTGGAAACGCAACCCAACTCTGAAGCCACCCGTCGTGTCCAGTCAGGGTGATCGATGGTGCCGTTGGCAACTTGAACCTGCTTTCGTGCGTCCGTGTTGCGGTCGTCCTGGTTTTGGGTCGGGCCTGTCCTCCTACAGGGGGATATTGTGGGAAAAAATAAAAATACAAAGAATAGTCTCCCAAAATGCTCAAAAATAGTCAAACAATCGTCCGCAGACTTTTTTTGCTATTTCTGGATATTCCTCCTGTAGGGAGACAGGCCCGACTTAATCCTGGTTGGGTGCGTCGCGGGCATCACCGGTCGACTCGGCTGCCCCAGCGGTCGGGCCGCCCGCTGGGCCGACCAGGAAGAACGAGAGGGGCGCATGTGAGGAGAGCCCTAGTGTCCTGGAAAGGGCGCTGCATCCAAATTTGTGGTCGAGCTACTGCAATGGATGGTAGCTCGTGTGCGCTCTGTCGATGCGGGAAGTGGCAACGCTGGAGAAGTATGTGTGTGTGTCCGTCCTGATATAATTCGTGCGTGCCCTTCGGCTGGAATGCGTCCTCCAAAGCCTGAGTGGCTTGCACCGTGTCTTTATGCTCGGTCCAACAACGACTATTGCAGCGCCAGCGGCCATGGGAGCACGGCCCGCAATTCCAGTCCCCGGCCAGAACGGGTAAAGCATCGCGTGGTGAAGCCAAGTTCGGCTTTGATGATGCCGTGGGAGCTGTCACAGTCCCGTGCGAGACGATCGTTTGCTGGGCCTTCTCCTGCGGCGAGGTAAGTCAGGTTACCACTGGGTCCATGGGGTCGGAGTCTGGCCACCCTGCCCGGCTCAAGTTCCACGACGCCCCCCTCCTGAAAGGGAGCGAACTTGTCCAGGAAGCCGCGCCGCAACACGACGCCAACACCTGCGCGTCTGGCCGGAAGGTGGGACCAATGGCCGGCACAGCCTGGTGGTAGTGAGGAGGCCCTGTCGCCGCCGAAGGTTTTCGAGAGCCCGCTGACGGTCACCTCCTGCGCGAGGGTGCCGCCCATGCGCTCGTCGAAATGCAGTTTGACATTGGCCCAGGGTTCGTCGGCACGGCTGCCCAGGCTGGGCCGAAGGCGGTCCGTGGCAAGCAACCCCGAGAGCCGGAGGTTCTCAATCGGACCATGCACCTGCCAACGGTACTCATGCGGAATGTCGATCACGATGCACTCGTGAATGTGTTGCTGGAAGATGGCGTCGCTTCAGATCCAGAGAAGCGAGGGCCGATGCACGGCAGCCTGGGCCAGCGTGATCAACGCCAGCCCCTTGGGACGTGCAGTGGTGCATTCCTGCCAGACACGATCCTGAACATACGAGGGGTGAGGGGGATGGTCTCGGTAACCAGCTCCTTCCACCTTGGGCCGAGGAGGGGGGGTGCCATAGATCTGCGAGGTGCTGTGCCATGGAACAGCCAGGGTAGACGTCGATGGAAAGCATAAATGCGACCTGGCCCGAAGCTCCCTAGACGCACCAGCAACCTTGGCGGCCTGGTCGGGCAGTTCCGGGGCCCAGTTGACCAAGGGGCGGGTGAGCTGGCTGAGGGCGTGTGTGATTGTCCCCGCGTCGCTGCTAAGCTGGCTGCGGATGCCCTCGAGACCCCGATGAAGCCAGGTCGACGTGCGTCGACGGGTGGCAAATACGGGGGATGTGTCGGCGCCGTGGGGGCGGAAGCCCATGATGCAGATCAAGCCTGCTGGTCATAGTTCTTGCCAGTGGTCGGTGGTTTTTGCCAGCCCCTCGGTCATCTTCCCCTTCCTGTGGACGTCCTTCAGCTCAAGGATTGGGTGCCGACCCCCCCCGGAATCTGGAGAGGGGCCAAACCGCTCAACCAGGAGCAGGCGAAATCTGCAGATTTGTGAAATGTGCTGATTGTGGCGCTGAATGTCTCGTCGTCTCGGGTCCCTCTGGGGGCCGCATCCAATCCACAGATTGCCATGTTCTGTTGACTCGGGACGCATCCAACTCGAGGAGGCACCTCTCGCAAGCAATGCTGATGCTGTCGAAAAGACGGTCGCGCGCGGTCCAGGCGGTCGGAGCAGCCCAGTGCTGGACGAACCTCTCTGCCAGCGCGCGTCGCCCAGGCAGCCTGGCCTCGCCCACCTCGGGGCCGCCCAACTCGGAGAAGCCCAAGATACCAAAGTGCGATGGGGCTCCCGAAGGGGAACCCCATGGCTTCCAGAAATAGGGGAACGAAGAATGACATAAACATAAAAACTCGGAGCTCCGCGCGGATTTCTCGAATCCGTGCTGACCCCCCTGGCGGCGCCTCCGGCGCCGCCCCTGGCGCGCTCCGCGCGCCAGGGAGAGGGGTCCAGCGCCGATCCGAGAAATCCGCGCGAACCTCCGAATTGCTATATTTATTCAATTTTTCTTCCCCCTAAGAAAAGAGCTCAATTCCGCGACTCGAGTGTCGTCTTGCGCTGCAGAGTCCGGTGGGATTGGCGTGAGGAAGGTGGGGGGTGACAGATTGGGCTGCATGGATGATGTCGCTGTTGTCCAAGGTCTTCTTTTTCCAGAAGCTCGACCAGATGGGTTGCGAGGCCTGGAAACGGTGAAGGCGCGGGCTCCCTCGAGGAGCCCACGTGCAGCGTCGTCATGTCGTGCGAAAGGCCCGAGGTGGCTGGATCAGAACCCCAAGCCCTGTCGGGCGCCTCTCGTTGCGCCTCGGGGGCGTCGTGCCCTTGCTGGGGCCGGGGAGGAAGGGCGGGGAAGCCAGGCGGAGCAGCGAGGGAGCCGTGCCCCGCACCCTCAGCGTGTCCAGCGGGCGGTGGTGTGGAAGCCTGTAGCTGCCGGCAGGGCGGTCATCTGCCCGCGCCCGGAGCCGCAGCACCGAAAGAGTGGGCACGCACTGTGCTGGCAGAAGTCGGGGGGAACGAAAGAGGTGGATAGCAAAGGGTAGGGTGGAGAATCAGCTCACGTAGCTGATTCTCCCAGCGCCTCCCGGCGCCGGGAGGCGCCCATGTATCGAGGAATGGGCCTGGCGGCGGGGCCGAAACCAGCTGCACGCAGCTAGCTGGGCCTCCCCCCACCCCCCCACAGGCGCAGTACCAAGGGTAGGGTGGCGTGCTTCTGGATGTCGTAGTCCGAGGGCCTTTGGCTGCCATCCAGAGGTTGTCGGGCGTAGATCAGGCGTTGCTCAGCAGGAGGGAATTCTTCCTTGTCCAGGATCGTCTTCCGCACTCCATTTGATCGTATCGGCGGCTACCGCGTCGATTGTTATTGTTTTTCACTTGGGCATCTTCACGCATGTCTGCATGCCTCCGTGGCTGGCGGTTGCAGCGTCGGCAGTGGCGTGGACACTGGTGCAGGTGTCGGTGCAGGCTGCGTCAATGCTGCGGGGAGCGACGTTGCCCTGGTCCGCGACCCCGTCGTCCTGGCCAGTGCTGGTCTCGACGGCGTGCACGGCTGCGAATGTCACGGTTTCCGCCGGCTCGGGTGTCCCCAGTGACGGCGGTTCCCTGGCCTCATACTGGCCATTCCGACGCTGGTGAGTGCCATCCTGGTGGTCCTGGGGTGCTGGTGGCCGCCGTCATGGTCGTGGCGGTGCTGCAGATTCACGTCGCGCTGGCCGTAGGTGCTGTCATTCCTGTTGTCGTCGCTGCTGTCGGGGGTGCTGGCGTGACTGCCGACGTCGGCTGATGCCGATGCCGATTTCACGGCTGTCGCGGGTGCCGGCGAAGGTGCCGTTGTCAGTTCCGATGCTGCCTCCGATTGCCTCAGTGTTGTTGCGGGTGTCGGCGTCAGCGCTGGACACGATGCCTGCGCATGTGCTGGTGCCCAACTGCTGGGAGGCCCGGCCCAACCAATCTCCTGAGGCGCCAGACCTTGAATGCCTGTTGCGCTGGTGCTGCTGATTGTCGCCGCGGTCGTCGTGGTCCTGACCCACCTCTGGATGTCCTTGTCGAGCTGCTGCACGCCGTCGCGCGGAGGTGTCACGGTTTCCGCTGGCACGGGTGCCACAGTGTCCTGTGGCACGGGCGTCGCGTGCAACGTGCTATCGACAGAGTGTCATCCCAAAGTGGCCGAAGTTCTTGGCAGTAGCCGCGGGCTCGGCTTGGGTCGCTGCTGCCCGCGGAGGCCAGGGATGGGAGAGTCAGCGCTGGCGCGGGTGACGGCGATGGTGCTGTCGTCATTGCCGTCGCGGATCGCTGGTCTCGTGGGGATGAGTCATGCTTGGTCCCGGCGCCGAGTTCGTCGTGGGCGTCGCGGTAGCCGTGGCCGGCGTGATCCTCGTGGATATCGTTGTCGTCGTGGTCCCTGAGACTTAGTGGGACCTCGAACCGAATCGATTTACCGGTGGACGTCTCCTCCAAGACTTGCGGGCCCCTGCGGTCGCCCAGCTCCTCGCCCAGGGACTTTCCGGCAGACGCCGCGGCCGAGGTCGCGGTCGGGGATGCCCCGGTCGTCGAGGTGCCGACGCACTCGTCCTGGCGGTCCTGGCCGAGGTGGGGGCTGGCCTCGTCAGGGTGGCCGGAGGCAGAATCGAGGCCGCGGGAGTCGGAGTCGAGGGGGCAATGGTCGCTGTCGATGCTCCGGCCGCGGTGGTCGCCCAGCTCGCCGGCCGCGGTGGTCGCCCAGCTCGCACATCGGGTCGTCCTGCATGTCGTGGGCGTCGTGGGCGGTGTCGTCGTGGAGGCCGGCGGCGGAGGCGGCAACCGTGCTGCCGTTGGGGGTGGCGTCCGCGCTGTCCTGGGCGCCGGCGATGGGGAAGGCATCCGCGGCGACAGTCTCGACGTTATGATCGCCGTGAGTGTCTTGAGCACCGTGGTCGTCGTCGTGCGCCGTCGTCTCTGACCTGGTTGTTGCCATGGATGTCCCGGTCACCCTAAAGCTGGTGGTTGGGTAGAGGATGGTCCTGAACAGGCGCCTGACGCAACGAGTGGGAAGCCGGCAAAAGAAGGTCAAGGTCAAGCCTGTATGCCCGCGATGGGGCGGCCGCTTAGGGCACAGGCGGGTGAAAACTAGCAGGCGCTCATGTGGTGAAGAAAATCTCCGGTCATACAATTCCAAGAATGTGGTTCTTTGGCTGCTACTCTCCAGTCACCGATCCCGTACTTGTCGCAGAAGCACTCGACATCAGACTCCCACGTCTTCCGCGGTCTCCCTTGGGATCTGCTTCCGGCAGGTGTCCATGCAAGCATGCGTGACAGCCATCTGTCTGCAGGCAGGTTGGCAATGTACCCGGCGAAGTTCCAGTATTGGCGGAACAGTACTTCCGACCACAGTTTGGCCTGAGTGCCTTGCAACTTCTCGGTAACACGATCGTGCCGCACATGTAATATCTCATGCCGTGGACAGGTCCAGTCGACCTCGCCTGGCGGCCCGACAACTTGTCGAAGAAGCTTGCGACACGCAACGTCCAGCTTCTTCCGCTCGGCTGCATAGACCACGCGGTGAGCATAACCAAACATAGCAATCGGGGTGATGATGGCATGGCAATAGTTCAAGCGCAGCTCAACCGGTACACGCTTTGCTGCGAGGATCCACCGGCTCGCGAAGAAAGCCCTTGCAGCTGCTTGAAGATGGTATTCTTGGTCTTGCTTCACAACGTCGGTCGACAAAATGCATCCTAGCCATTTGTGAGAGTTCATGCGCTTGATACATACACCAGAGGGGAGCAAAAGCTTGTCCGGCGGTTGCGCCTCGGTAGTCAGGGCTGCAGTTTTGTCGGCGTTCAGCATCAGACCAACTGCGGCGAGCTCCTCAACCAGCGACGCCAGAAGACTCGCAGCCTCTTTTTGCGATTTAGCGAAAAATACAACGTCGTCAACAAACCGCAAATCCAATAATCGACGCAATCCGTCTCCCAGGTCAGAGCCTGCTGCCCAAGACTCCAGCGCCAACGGGCCATCGCCCACTCCAACAAACAACAAATGAGCCTTGGGCTGAGAACATAACCCTGTCGGACTCCAGCTCGGATGTCAAAAAGGTCGCTGCGTTGAGAATTGCCTTTCACCTGCCCGGTCTGTTTCTCGTATAGCACCTGCAATATCCATACGAGGTGGTCGGAGATACCGTGCCCGCGCAAAGCCGACCACAGAGCAGACCAATCCACGCGATCGAAAGCCTTCGACAATTCCAAGCTCACAGCCCAAACTGGTGCACCCACCGACCTTGTCTTGTCCAAGAACATGTTTGCTGTCAGGAGGTGTTCCTCGATGCGGTAATCGGCCCGGAAAGCGTGTTGTTCTTCAGGTTGGCGTTCGTCCAGCTTTCTCTCTAAGCGCCCCAACGCTAAATATGCAAATAGCTTGTGCAAAACCCGTGCGCTGGCAATGGGCCGGTGATCAGAAACAGCTACGGCCTTCGCACTTTTCGGAAGCATCTGGAACAAGGTTCGTCGCCAGCTCTCCGGGGGAAACCCCTCCAGCAATGCTCTGTTGTACAATGATAGCAAACAACTCCTGAAGGGAGCTGGAGTGATGTGTAGGAGTTCTGCAACCAAGCCAATATCATCAGAAGCTCGCTTCGCGTTCATCCTGCCCACCGCAGCGTCTAGTTCTGTCGCGGAGAACAGATCCTCCGCGAGAGTTTGCGGTCTTGCCGGCGCAGGCGGCGCCCCAGCAAACAAGCCGCCAAGGAATTGAGCAAAGTCATTATCCGATGGTGGTTGGGGCTGGCTTCTCCCTTTGATCTTCTCCAACAACGATTTGATGTTGTGCCAATGCTTCGAACTCTTCAACATGTCCTCCAATTGTGCTGTCTTCCATGTTCTGACCACCTGTCTTTGCAAGCGCCGGATCTCAAAACTGAGCCGCTTGGATTCAGCGTGGTCGCGGGCGCGTCTTCTCTGAACCCGGAGCTCCTGAAGACGCGAACTTGGACTGAAACGTATCTTGCGGGTCGCAGTATAGCCGAATTTCGTTGCCGCATTTCGAAGGGCTGCTTAAATTTGCTCGAAAGACGCCGTACTCCCATGTTCTAGCACCCACGTGCTCAGGTAATTTTGAAAATCTTTTGGTTGGCCACTCTCGTCCAGATTTGGTTTCCACTTATTGCAAGACTTCTGGCGCCGCTTGCGCCTTTCCCTATTGGTAGACATGTCCCGCTGCACCCTCAGCTGCGCAACGCTGTGGTCGCAACGATGGTCAAGACCGATTGGCAAACAATTGTCGCACCATGTGCTGTGACAGTGGACCCGGCTACCCGCCAGAAGAAAATCTAGCTGCACCAAAGCCCCGTCCATAGTACGTCTGCAGGTCCGGCCATGTTCACTACGTTCTGCCACCGACTGCCGGCTCAAGATGCGCAGCCCGTGCTCCAATACGAACTGGACCATCAAACTTTCACGTTCGCTCCGGGGCCCAGTCCCGCAATCGCCCACAGAGTCAGCAACGTCGAAAACAGCAGGTGCGCCAATAGATGCATTGAAGTCGCCGCCAACCAAAGGGATCCGACCGCGCGCGTCGCAATCCAGAAGCAGCAAAGACAAAGCGTCGTATAATTCCTGCACAACGTCATCGTTATCCCAAGCAGTCGGAAAGTAACAAGCAACGACCCGGAACAATTTGCCGGCCAACTGAAAATTTAAGGAACATAATCTTGGAGAGTATGGCTGAAAACGAACTCCCAAAATACGCGGCGTAAATCTCGACGATATGCTGATGCCAACCCCTCTGTGCATCGAACCTCCACTCAAGTAAAGTTGCCCCCCCGCTGGGATGGATGTGACTTCCAGTCGGTCTTTGCGCCAAGTTTCCGAAGAGAACGCAACATCATATTGTAGCTTGTCAAACTCCTGCGAAAAATCTAGAAAACGATTCTCTTCCCGGATGCACTGCAAATTCTTTGTGAACATGCGTATATTGATGAATTCGTCGTGCATGTCGTGCTCTATGTCCTGGCTGTCCTGGCTGTGGCTGATTTGGCCATGCCTACCCTGCCAGAGTCCCTAGAGACACATCTCCTTCACGACCTCCTCAACTGCTCCCTTCAAAGTCTCTCCTGCCGAGTGCTCCCCCTCGGCCCACTTCGCGGAGGCGTCGTCCAGGACATCGGCCAGATGCACCAACTTCCGGCCATTGCGCACGTGCACTTTGAAGGTCCTGTAGTTCACGACGACGTTCTTCGCGTCGTAGCCCTCGTGCTCAAGCTCGAACTTTTTGACGTTGCTCAAAATCTTTACCCGCCGCCGCTCCTCGACCGACCTGTTTTCTGAGACCCACAAGCCTGCATCCTTGAACTTCTGGTTCCTGCGCTGTTTGCGTAAGAACTTCAAAGCCGTCGTGTCCGACACGAAACGGACAAAAGCCACAGCGGGCTCCGGGCTCGTGACGCAAACCTCCTCCACCCCTTCAACATCGTCGAACACATCCCCGACGTGCTTCTCAGCTGCGTCGGCATCCATCTCTCCGAATCCCCCGACCACGACCACCGACTTATCGACATCGGCCTCCACCTGTTCGTTTTCCCCTCCTCCCCCTCCTCCGCCCCGTCGCGTTTTGATGACTTCCTCCAGGGCACCAATGCGATGTTCGAGTTTCTTGCGATGTTCACGTTCCTGTTCCAGCTCCTCCTTCAACGGGGCAATGGCCTCCTCCATCCTTGACACCACCACCCGCTCCATCTCCCCATTGCCTGCTCGGATCGTGGCCGGGCTCATCTCGACTCTCTCGATGGTATCTGTCTTCAGGGTGTCCGAGAATTGTTGGGCGAGGTCTCGAACTGGAGCTTTCGATCTTGCCATGCCCTCCCGATCAGGGGCCCCCTCGACGGCGCCACGTTTCGATGGAGATGCTCGATCGTCGGCCTGATCCAAAACTTTGAGAAAACCTTTCTCGCAATTACCGCTCAAATTTTGAAACATAGCACCGTGCAAGCCTGCCTCGCCCGTCGTCGACGCCACCTTCTACCTCTCGTGCCGCTCTGTGTACCAAGCCGGCAAAAGAAATATGCCCCATCTTCACTCCTAATTGTAGGAAATCGACTTGCCTAATGCCAAACCGTCTCCCTTGGACGTCCCGTGTTGTGTTGCGCCACACGCTCCGCACTGAGAATGGAGCGGGTAAATGGGTGAACCCCCTCCCAGAGTGTCCGAAGATGGGGGTGCTGGATGTGGGGGCAAACGGTGTCCAGTGGAGTGTGAGCATTCCCCCACATCTTTTGCACCAGACCAGGAGCTCCTTTCCAAATAGTCGATGCCGCATCCAGCCGTCCGCAGAAATACCGGCCTTGATGCCGCACAGCAGGCGAAGAGCAGGTGCTTCCCCCCACCCAAGCCACATTACCAACTCGGTCAACCCAGATCCCCATGCCAATGTCGGCGTAGATCTCTTCGGCAGTGTCGTCCAGAGCGGCATCGGCGACGCCGAGCTCGACGCGGCTGTGGAGCTGCAAGGCAAGTAGTCGTTGTGCTGGTCGTGAGGCTGCTGCTGCGCCATATCCTTTTTAATCCGATCACCGTGCAGGTGACGAGCGTCGAAGATAAGGGTGTCGGAGATGATGGTGTCGGTGATGACCGTCAGCGTCTTCCCGCATATATTCACATCCGCTCTGGTAGGCCGCGAAACTGGTGTCACGGCTTCCGCAGAAGATCTGGGCAGTGGCCCCGGGTTCAGGCTCACACTTTCGTTGTCGGAGCCGGCGTTCATGTTGCTGTCGTCGGTGCCAGAGTCGGTGCCAGCGTCGATGTTTCTGGCGTCGGTGCTGGAGTAGGTGCTGGCTTTCTGTGCTAACATCGATGCTGTCGGCCGCGTTGCCAGGGCCGGTGCTGGCGTCAAGAATGCTGAAGGCATCTCTTCCAGAGTCGGTGCCGCGTCGGACATGGCGTCAATGCTCCTGTCGGTGCTGCGGTCGGTGCCGGCGTCGGTGCCAGCATCGATGCTGCTGGCCGCGGTGCGGGGGTCGCTGCCAGAATCAGCGCTGGCATCGTAGCCGTCGTTGAAACTGGTGGCGTCGGTGCTGGAGTCGATGCCGGCGTCGTTGCTCCTGGCGTCGGCGCTGGAGCCGGTGCTGGCGTCGGTGCCGGCATCGATGCTGCTGGCCGCGGTGCCGGGATTGGTGCCGGAGTTGATGCTGATGGCATCAGTGCCGCAGTCCGTGTCAATGTCGTTGTTGTTCGCCTCGGTGTTTCAGTCGGTGCCGCATCGATGCTGCTGGCCGCGGTGACGGAGATGTTGATGGCGCCGATGCTGCTGCCAAGGTCGGTGCTGAAGCCAGTGCTGGCGTCGGAGACGGTGTTGATGCTGCTGACGTCGCTGCCAGAGTTGGCACCGGCGTCAGTGCCCGCGCCGATGATGCCATCGATGGTTGCGTCGGCCTCCAGATGGTCGTCGAAGTTCAGCGGGGCATGGCTCCCTGACATTGCGGCAGGCTCGCGAGAGCAGGAACTGGAAGCACATCAGTTTAGTTACCGGCTCTAGCGAACCAGAGCGGCTGGCGTGTCCGGAGCCGCGCGCGAGACTTGATACCCTTGAACCAGCCCTTGAGCCAGCCCCTGCGCAAGAATGGCCACGGTGCCCTGCGGGGCTTCTCCACGTGAAGCAGGCGGGCCCCCGAGGGAAACGACCCCGAAACCCCGAGGACCTTCCCCAGGACCAGCCCTTCGTGGATCTATCTCACAGTCCAGGAGGCCGAGGAGGGCCCTGGGAGGCCCCAGGTGGCGGAACACCTCGGGGCCCGTGTGCCTCAGAACCTGTCTACTTCTCGGCGGCTCTGTGGTGCCCGTCGGTCGGAAGACGTGAGTAGAAGCAGGAAGTAGGAAGGCGTTGCAAGTACAGTCGACCCGCAGAGGAGCGATAAGGATGCAAGGCCCTTGGGCGCCCATTTCGAAGCGTTTCGAGCGGGGCGCGGCCACGGAAAGTGTCCAAGGATGGACCCAGGAAGCAAGGATGCAAGGATACCCTTGGGAGGGATGCCTATGATTACTCTGCGGGTCGACTGTAGATCGGGCTTCCGCCCGTCCTCGTGAAAAGGAGGGAAGAGGGTCAACCGCTCGGCCCTTGAAGTAGGAAGGCGGCTAAAGTAGATTTGGATTTGAGCATCAGAAAATCCCGACTTTCGGCGACAGGCGTGCATTCAGAAAAACCCCACTCCTCCTCCCTCCTCCTCCTCCTCCTCCAGATCCTCCTCCTCCAGTTCCTCCTCCTCCAGATCCTCCTCCTCCTCCTCCTACTCCTCCTCCTCCAGATCCTCCTCCTCCTCCTCCTCCTCCTCCTCCCCCTCCTCCTCCAGATCCTCATGCCCCTCAAAGGCATGGGCTGGACGTCCAGTGGGGCGGCTGGCCCCCCCTGCATCCGCGAGCCCCCCGCCCGCCACCGGCCGATGGGGCCTCCTGCCGCCCTGGGATATGCGGCAGGCTCGCGCTGCGCCAAGGACTTTTGACGCCGCGTCGAACTCTCAGCCTTCCTCCTCCTCCTCCTCCTCCTCCTCCTCCTCCTCCTCCTCCTCCGCCTCCTCCTCCTCCTCCTCCCTCTGGGCAATCTGGGCAATCTGGAAATGTCTGAGGCCGAACCGTGTTCAACTTCAATCAAAAAGAAAAAAATTAGAGAACCCCCCCCCTCCTCGGGGCGTCTTGCTGGAACTTGGCCGCCAGCTCGCCGAGCGGGGCCCTGTCCAGTGGCAGGGCTGGACCGATCCTGCACGAGGTCTGCGGCAAGAACCCGCGGAGGAGGGTCCGAAGTTCCTTGGACTTCGGGTTGGGATGGCGAACGCGCCGCAGCAAACACAAAATAGGACTGGGGTTCCATGGAGGACAGTCCAGGCAACATGAAGCTTGTGCTTGTTATAGTCAGGGGCAGCCAGGACCCTGAGGAGGGACGCATTCAACCGACCATTGCACTCAAACCGCGTTCTGCAGCTGATTTGTCGCAAGCAATACTCACATCTCCAGTGGTCACCCACCCAATAAGGGGTGTGTGGGTCTCTCGGACCACGCCTACCCCTCGGGCCCACACTCCCCTTGTTGAGCTCCCCGAAGATTTCTCCTGGGGTGGGCCACTCGGACAGAATAGACGCCATGGAACGACAAAGTTTATAGTAGTGCACGACATTGTGCGTTATTTCCTCGGCCACGAGGGGAGGGAACTCATGGAGCCTAGCACCCTCTCTAGCTAGCCAATCAGCACACTTGTTGCCTCTGATGGCTTCCAGGTCCTCGGGGCTTTCACCTTGGTTCTCCCCTCAATGGGCCTTAATTTTCTTAACATTGATCCAGCCTTCGGGGATGTCTACAGCAATCTTACGGAAAAAGTGAGACGCCACCGAATTCTTGGAAAGGGCTGCTTGGGGGTTAAAGCCAGCCCTAATCAGGGCTTGGTAGTCGACTGTGAGGCTGCTGGGGAGGGCTCCTTCCGTGTGTAAGGCCCCCACCATCAAGGCAGCATGCTCCCCTACTCCAGAGCTCTGACCAAACAGTTTCGGGACGGGACCAAAAAATAGCACGGTACAGGTTCCCGTCCGAGTCAAGCTCGCACACGCTAAAACCAGCTCTGGCCAGCGAAGACAACTGCCGTCAGAATAAAGCTTAGCATCCCGAGTGAATTCAAACCTTTTCACACGGGCCTTCTGCATCTCTATACCTGAGGTCCCAATCAGACGCAGGCTCGGAGACATCAAACTTAGGAAGCCACGCTCTGGTATACAAAAGACTCTGGTCACCAGCAGCAATGGCATCCTGGAGAAACTCAGGCGCACACATCTCTTCCCTTTTTCCTGCGCCATGCGGGCACTCCCGGCACCTGTGGAAGGTTGTGTCTGGTTTCCCGCAAAACTTACATTCGAGAGGTACAGAATACCCCCATCTCCTGAGGTTCTCAGCCGTGGGGACAGCACCCCCCATGGCCTGTTTGAGCACGCTGACAGAACGAGGCGGCAACTTGTGGGCAAAGCGCAAGAACCTGGCACTGAGCTCCCACCAGAGCCCCCGCTCATGAAGGGCCTGAGCTTCAGCGCACGGGTGGCGCTCGACAACCGTCCTGACAGCGGCCTGAATTCCAGCATCTTTAAATTGCGACACAAACCTCTTGGCAACATAGACAGGGGAGATCACATTCAGCTCAATATCAATACCGAGTCAGTCAGTGACGACAGATGGGCTCTTGAAGGCCCATCCTCCTTCCCTGACCCACGCAATAGTATCAGAAATAGGCCCCTTGCTCCTCCTCCTCCTCCTCCTCCTCCTCCTCCTCATGTTCCTGTTCCTCCTCCTCCTCCTCCTCCTCTTCCTCTTTGAACCGATCGTTGGAGGCCTGGAAATGGGCACCAACACCAGCACAAGGGGGGGGTGCCTCAACGTGGGGAGGATGATCCTAGACTTCGGTGCTGGTGGTGATACTTCGGTCACCCGTGAAGCCAGACTATTACCACCATCACCGAGATCGGGGTCGTCTTCCCTCGGTGGAGGCACACCGCCGATCTTGGTGTTGGTGTCAACCTCTAGGCCTGCGAGATAGCGGCCCCGATCGTTCGAGGGTGAATTCCGTAGGGTCTGGTCACGTTGCCGTGTGCATCGGTGCTTCCGCGTCGCAGGATTCAACCTTGAGCGCCCTCGCCAGCGTCGCCGCTGCGCCAACGCCACAATGCACACCCAGCAAGAGCCCCAAATAGTAGGAAGCCCACAAAGGACGTACGCGCCCAACCACGTACGTGAATGCGGCACCCCAATCCGCGAGACCAGCCTCGTGATACGAACGCTCGCGCAATGCCTACTCTGGAAATCAGCGTGGATGCATGTACGTGTACGTCCGTCTGTCGCTCCTGAAAAACGTGACCAAGAGTCCCCTAGAACGCCAAACGAGTGACCGACGGGTGACCCGATATCGCCTAAGTGCACACCGCCCAAATGACCAGGAGCCCCTCAGGACCACCCAGAACGCCCAAACGGGCCCACTAAGAGCCTCCAAAGAGACCCTAGACATTCGGAGCTCCCCAAGCTGGCCCAAGCGGGCATCCGAATGGACCCACGACGGCCGAAGACGGCCCCAAGACGGCTTCACGAGGGCCCCAAGAGGCCCCCAGAGCGCCAGCTGATAGGGCCCCAAGACGCCCCAAGAGAGTCCAATTACGGCCCGATAAGACCTCAGGGGGGCCCAAGAGGGCTCCAAGGGAGCCCCAAGACTGCTCCACAGAAACCCTAGACGGCCCCAAAATAAATGGCCCCAGTGGCCAACTTATCCCAGTGCGACCCTACCTAGGAGTTGGAGCATTTAGGAAGCAACATCTGCATCTACACCGACAGCTACATGTACATCTACACCTGCATCTACATCTACATCAACATCAGCAACGCGACTCACATCTACATCTACATCTACACCTACGCTCGACTGCGCTGTGTTGTGCTAGGCTATGCGATGCTATGCTATGATGCACCATGCCATGCTATGCTGTGCTATGCTGCGCTATGCTATGCTATGCTATGCTATGCTATGCTACGATGCGCGATGTTATGATATGCTAGGCTATGATATGACATGCTATGCTGCGCGATGATATATTATGCTATGATATACTATGCTAGGCTATGATGCGATATGCTATGATATGATATGATATGATATGACATGCTGTGCTATGATATGCTGCGCTATGCTATGTTATGCAGCGCTGTGCTATGCTAAGCAATGCTATGATCTGCTATAGTATGCTGCGCTTTGCTATGCTATGCTATGCTATGCTATGCTGAGCTATGCTATGCTATGCTATGATGTGCTTGGTTATGATATGCTATGATATGCTGTGCTAATGCTATGCTGCGCTATGCTGCGCTGCGCTATGCTAAGGTAAGTCCAGCTATGCTAAGCTAAGCTAAGCTAAGCTAAGCTAAGCTAAGCTAAGCTAGCCTAGGCTAAGCAAAGCTAAGCTAAGCCAAGTTAAGCTAAGCTAAGCTAAGCTACGCTAAGATACGCTAGCTAAACTCAGCTAAGCTAAGCTAAGCTAAGCTAGGCAAAGCTAAGCTAAGCTAAGCTAAGCTAAGAGGAGATAAGCTAAGCTAAGATGAGCTAAGCTAGGTTAAGCTAAACTAAGCTAAGCTAAGCTAAGCTGGGTGAACCCAGGGGGCGCAACTGGGAGAACTGCGGGGCGGGGACTGGGGGAACCGCCCGGGGCGTTTTACACTGCCCGGCCCCTTTAAGCAAACAAAGTAAGAACCCTCTAGGCAGAGCCTAGGTAGGGAATGAATGCTCCGCAAGAAGCGGAGACAAGAGGTGTCACATGTGACGGCCTTGCGGACGGTGCTCGAAGGGTCAGCAGACAGGGCGCTTCGCTGGCACGGTGGCGGACTTGCCGCAGGCACCAGGATAGCGGTACGAGATGGAATCGGCTGCTTGAAAGTTTGCCTCCACCCAAGAAGGCACACCCACCACCGAATCATCTGGACTACAGCCAATCTGGTACCACCAACACGCCAAGTAGTGGTTCGCCGTAACAATCCACAACAGGTGCATGAGAACCTTCAGGTATGTCTTGGTTGCGAACGAGACCACCTTCTCCCTCATGCGCGCGATCACGCTGTGCGCCTTCAGGGCACGGAGCAGCTTGAAGAACTTGAGGACCCGAATCGCTCGGCCTGACTGAGCCCACGCGATGTAGCTGAACTTCATGCTGAGCTGCCCGGGACACCGCGCCTGCGCCGCGTGCAAGAAAGAGATCGCGGATATCACCAGGAGGAAAATGTCCGGGATGAACCACCCCTGGACGTAGTGCATCGCAATCGACCGCATGCTGGTCTGCAGGATGGGAACCTTCGAACGGGAGCTGCCCCTCACGTCATAGTATCCGACCACGAAGTTGGACGGCAAGTCCGCACACCAATAGGCAAGCGTCGCGCCCTCGAGCACCAACACGGCGTAGCTCGCCGAGTTGTCGAAGAACGCCTGCTCGAACGGTGTGAATAGCACATCATACATCACGAAGAGCATGCCCAGGCACTCCCACATAATGCGCCGGCTCGAGACTGGGCTCGTAGTGAATTTGTGGAAGAACTTATCGAAGCCCCTGCTCGAGCTCCTGCTGACCATCAGCGTCTTCATGCTCTTCGACAACGTCTTCGACAACTTCGGGGTAATATTCATCGACCAGTCCAGAGACATCTCCGACCTGGTCGCTTGCAGTGCCAGGGCTATGAGAGCGTCGTTCTCGTCGCTGTCCTGCCAGAGCTCCAACAGCTCCAGCCGCTCGTTCCGGGACATGCGGCTCTCGATGCTGGCCGTCCACTTGGTCCCTGCGGAGCGCTTGGACGACGTCCTGATGAGGGCGCTATCCTCCTGGGATGGCTCTCCTCGGAGTATCGGTTCGGGGTGCTGGGACCGCGGAGGACTCGGAGTATCTGGTACCAGGGCCTCCTCCTGCGATGGGAAGGAGCCGGTGAGGCGGCTTCCCTGTCGGCGGCGAGCGAGGGGGGAAAGTGAGAAGGAACAAGCCTTCTCAGAAGGTGGCAGGGCTTCTGAGAAGCCCTGCCCGGCCCTCTGAGAAGCTTGTTGCGCCTTCGGGAAAGGTCTCGAAAACTTCTGGGGGACTTCCGAGCCGTCTGAGACGGCCCGCCCCGTATCACTTCTCCCTGGACGGTTTCCCCCGGGGCCGTAGGCGACCCGAGGAGGGGAGGGCGAGGAGGGGGAGGAGGAGGAGGGCGGGGGGAGGAGGAGGAGGAGGAGGAGGAGGAGGAGGAGGAGGAGGAGGAGGAGGAGGAGGAGGAGGAGGAGGAGGAGGAGGAGGAGGAGGAGGGAGGAGGAGGAGGAGGAGGGGAGGAGGAGGAGGAGAAGGAGGAGAGAGAAGGAGGATGGGTCGCCTAAGCCCTTCGGAGAAACCCTCCGCTTCTCCCCCGGGCTGGCCGCCGATCCTGAGAGAGGCGCCCTCCGTCGGCGCTGGTGCAGTTCAATACGTCGCTGGTCAGCGGCCTGGGCTGTCGCGGCGCTGGGCTCAAGGCGGCGCGCCCGTCCTCACCTGGCGCGTCCTTCACGAGATGGAGGTCCCCCTCCTCGTCCCCAGCAACTGAGATCCGACGTCTCGAACAAATTACAGCACCGCGAAAAATCACGACCGGATCAGAAAGGCCCAATCTTCCTGCGGCATTTTGTGAACGGATCGATCTGTGATGTGATGGCACTGGGACCATAGACAGGGTGAAAGTGCCATGTGCGACAGAAAACTGCAGAGCCCGGATCTCAGCGCTCCTCGCCCTCAGCGTACGAGGCGTCGCTGACATCGTCGGAGAGGAACCGGGTCTGGGAGACCTAGGGTTAGGTCGGGCGTGCCCTCCTACAGGCGGTTTTTGGACGAAAAATACAACATGCCAAAACATGTTCCAAAAATGCGCAAACATTGTCGAACAATCGTCCCCATACTATTTCCTTACTACTTTTGAACATTCCGATTGTAGAGGGACAGGCTCGACTTCCATAAGCACAAGGAACCACATCCATAAGCATCAATCATTCGAGGGCCCGCGCGGATGTCTTGGATCTGCGCTGGGCCTCCCTCAAAGACGCACCTGCCGAGCTCTAAAACGTTGTGCTTAGGTTTCTGCTGCTTCTTCGAATCTCCCTCGCCGTAGTGAAAGACATGGAAGAAATGGGAACCGGGGGCGCATTGAAAAGAAGAGGAGGGGGCCATGACGTCAAGATTGATATCATGGCCTTGGCCGTGAGATTCCATCCCCTAATCACCTGAGGACGCTTTTCTGGGCAGCCCAAGTATACCTGCAAGCGCGATTCTCTGGCGACCCGAAGGTACATGCAAGCACGCTTCCCTAAGCGGCCCGAGTGTATCTGCAAGCACGCACGCTTCCGTGGGCGGTACTTGCAAGCACGCTTCCCAGGGCGGCCCGGAGCTACATGCAAGGACGCTTCCCGGGGCGGCCTCAATGTACCTGCAAACACGCTTCCCTTGGCAGCCCGAAAGACCGCTTCCCTGGGTGGCCCGAAACTGCCTGAAGACACTCCGCTGGGCAGCCCGAAAGTACCTGCAAACACGCTCCCTTGGGCGGCCCGAAGCCCTTGCAAACACGCGTCCATTGGCAGCCGGAAGGTACCTGCAAGCGCGGTTCTGTGGGAGGCCCGAAGGTACCTGCAAGTACGCTTCCCAGGGCGGCCTGAAGATACCTACAAGCACGCTTCCCTGGGCGGCCCGAAAGTACCTGCAAGCACGCTTCCCTGGGTGGCCCGAAGCTACCCTGCAAGGACGCTTCCCTGGGCGGCCGGAAGGTACCTGCAGGCGCGCTTCCGCGGGCGGCCCGAGGTACCTGCAAGCGCGCTTCCGCGGGCGGCCCGAAGATATCTTCAAGCGCGCCTCCTTGAGCGGCCCGAAGCTACCCTCCTCTCCCGAAGATCCGGCGTCTCGACTTGTTCGAGACACGGGCCCCAGACCTCTCGACCATTTCCCCAAGACGCGCTCTTCATCCCGACTTGTTTTTGTTGCGACCACGAGGCCCCGTAAGAAGGACCACAAGAGGCCGAAAACTATGAAAACCCTCTGTCGAATTTGTTTCATGACTCGAGTTACGTTGCTCCCATCGTACTTAAGGACCACATCTCAGAAATCCGCCGACCCTGTCGGCGTGTGTGAGGGGCTTTTCCGTTCGAGCCGTCATCTCCGTCATTCTTTGTACTCGTCGTCTCTGTCCTTCCCTTTCCCTGGGAGACCTCTTCCCCTGGGTTCCAGCCAAGCCGACCTTGAGCAACCTCGTAATTGAGTCGAAGGGAAGCCCCTTCCCTTTGATCCCTCCCCCGCCGGGAGGGGGGGGGGGTAGCGACCCCCCCCCCGGGTCAGATACGACGCCCCCCCCTGGGACTCCTCTTCCCCTGGGCTCCAGCCAAGCCGACCTTGAGCAACCTCGTAATTGAGTCGAAGGGAAGCCCCTTCCCTTTGATCCCTCCCCCGCCGGGAGGGGGGGGGGGGTAGCGACCCCCCCCCCGGGTCAGATACGACGCCCCCCCCTGGGACTCCTCTTCCCCTGGGCTCCAGCCAAGCCGACCTTGAGCAACCTCGTAATTGAGTCGAAGGGAAGCCCCTTCCCTTTGATCCCTCCCCCGCCGGGAGGGGGGGGGGGTGCGACCCCCCCCCCGGGTCAGATACGACGCCCCCCCCTGGGACTCCTCTTCCCCTGGGCTCCAGCCAAGCCGACCTTGAGCAACAAAAATCTTCCCCTGGGCTCCAGCCAAGCCGACCTTGAGCAACCTCGTAATTGAGTCGAAGGGAAGCCCCTTCCCTTTCATTCCTCCCCCGCCGGGAGGGGGGGGGGGTAGCGGGGGGGGTAGCGACCCCCCCCCCGAGTCAGATACGACGCCCCCCCCCCGTACCGACCTTGAGCAACGTCGTCATTGAGTCGAAGGGAAGCCCCTTCCCTTTCCCTTCCCCGACGGGGGGGGGAGAGGAGGTCCCGGGGGGGGTCCCGGGGGAGTCCCGGGGAAGTCCCGGGTCAGATACGACACCTCCCTCCCCCACCTTCTCGTCCTTCTCCCCGTTCCCCCAAACCATCCCACAGCCCGTGCCTCTTGCTGCGCATTGCGAACAGGGTCGGCGGCACCGGCCGTCAGGCCTTCGCAATAAATTCGAGCACCTGGAAAAGTGTCGAAACAGTGCCGAAACGGTGTCGGGCTTTTGTCTCCCAGAGCCCGACACGTGAAAACCTTCGAGTTTCGGTGCGTTTTTTCGGGCCGGGCGACAAGGGGGGATAAGCTGAAGTAGCTGATTTTCCCGGCGCCTCCCGGCGCCAGAGGCGGCTATGTATCGAGGAATGGGCCCCTCGGCGGGGCCGAAACCAACTGCATGCAGCAGATTCCGTACCCCCCCCTTTCCCAATCCCCCCCTTTCTGGGCGCCCGAGTTATCCGGGGTAACTCGGGTCCGGGGTAACTCGGGTTTGGATTCCCGAAAAAGGAACCCGAGTTAGCCCTGACCCGAGTTACCCCTGATGGTGTGGGGCTCTGGACGCCCGAATTATCCGGGGTAACTCGGGTCCGGGGTAAGTCGGGTTCGAATTCCCGAAAAACGAACCCGAGTTAACCCTGACCCGAGTTACCCCTGATGATTCGGGGCTCTGACCTTTCGTTCGGCCCGATTCTCTGGCGCTCGAAATGATTTCTGATGATCTAGGCGAAAGTAGGCATCAGACTCAAGGGGGTTTGGGCCTTGGCGCCCCCGAGCCTCGTCGAAGAGTGCGGGCGCGCTGCCGGACACGCTGCCGGACTCGCAGATGCCGCGGGACCCTCGGGCGGCGCCGGCATCCGCGCCGTCGGGGCTCAGCAGCGGCAGGAGCTGCTGCTCCTTGCGCTGCAGGGGAAGGAGCTGGAGGAGGAAGACGAGGAGGAGGAGGAGAGGAGGAGGAGGAGGAGGAGGAGGAGGAGGAGGAGGAGGAGGAGGTGGAGAAAGAGGAGGAGGAGGAGGAGGAGGAGGAGGAGGAGGAGGAAGAGGAGGATTTGACATGAGCTGCAAGGTGATGGTAAAAGGGCGGGCGCGTGGCACCACCACCAGGCGATCTCCCACTAAACGAGAGGATCCCCAGTATTGGCCCACATGTCCACCTACCTCCATGGCGCAGGCTCAGTCGACACGCCCTTGCGAGTCGGATGGGTGTCTTTGCAGATCTGATTCAAGGACCAGGTCTGCTTGGTCGTGTTTGCTACATTATTTAGCCAGCCCTCGTACATAGCTAATAATAGCGTACGAATGGCACTTCAAACGCGCTGTAATGAAGGAACCATCCGAAACTAAAAAAGGAAACCGCTTGATGCCCTAGAGCCCTCAGGGTAGGCCCGTCGAACTTCGAGACAGTAGGGCCCTCCCCAAACGGCGGCAACTTCGGTCCTTTTCGAGAGAGCAAGCATTGTTGGCATCTCCAGAAACCAGGACGGACCCCTATGAGCTCCCAAGCCCACGCATGACCTCCCCCCTTTGGAGCCTTAGGCTCTTTGGGGGGAGGGGTCCAGGGGCAATCAGACAAGTCGAGTCTCGGCCAGGACGGCAGCACCTTAGCCGCGAGCGCACGCGCGGCCTGCGAGACACGAGTTCGAAAATTTCACTGCTGCACTTCTGCTTCCGACGGCTGCGGGTGCATAGATGCTCCGAATTTGGCGGCCTTATCGGCCTCGTCATTGCCCACTCTCAGCCAGCGCTCTCGCTCTGAGATGCCCGCTTCCAGCGGGTCCAAGTTGGCTTTTGCTTTAGTCACCCCTTCCACCCACCTCCCACCCAGCCGAAACATCATCACTAAACCGGCGAAGGTCTTCTTATAACTGAGTTGCACTTCGCTGTCCTTACTGCTCATTTCGCGGGCCTCACTGCTGAGCGAGACTACGTTCTCACAGTCCGAGTAGAAGGTGCATGAGGCTTCAACCTCGAGCCCCCCGCACGCAACGCCCGCAAACTCAGCGCACTGCGACGTCTGGATGAAGGGAGAATGCACAGGCCCTGACAAACAGCCTAGCCTACGCAGGTCGTCTGAGAGCAACGCCAGACCGTAACCCACTCTAGAGAGTTCGCTGATCACGTGCCTGTGGCAACTTCCATCAACAAAAATGTTGCCCGAAAAACTGCCACCTTCGGGGGGGGGGCTCGCGCAAACGCAGCGAGCGCTCCTGTAGCGACCGCCCCTGCGAGGCCGCCAGCACCCCAACGTTGGGCGCGGCGCCCCCGGGGGGCGGGCCGCGCCCGTGGGTCTGCGCAATCGCCGCCCAAGGCGCGGCGCCCACCCCCTGGCAGGGTCACCTGGGTGCCGATTACCCCCAGGGGCGGTCGAGGGTGGGAGAAAACGCCGCACCCCCAGCTGCCAGCGCCGATGGCTGGCAGCAAGGAGTGAGAACCTCCGCGGCGCGCGCCAAGCGTGCGCGCGCGTCGGCGGCGCGCGCCCTGGGCCGCGCCGCGCGGCCAGGTCGATCGCTGGGGCTTCCGCGCACGTCCATCTGCGGACAAGCGTGCCAAGTGGCTCGAGCGGGTCCGCGCCGCCCTGGCAGCGGAGGAGCTGACCGCCGGGGCGGCGTCCAAGCTGGCGGGCGCTCTCTCCTGGGGCGCATCGCATCAGTTCCGCCGGTTGGGACGCGCGACGCTGCGACCGCTGTTCGCGCACGCGCACGGCCGCTCGGCAAAGCTGTCCGCCGACGCGTTGTGCTGCTTGCGCTGGTGGGCGGAAGTCCTGGCCCATGATATACGGGAAACCAGAGCTTGGGCTGGCGGCGTGGCCGAGCAGAGCGCGGACCACGCGGACCACGCATTGCAGCGCGCGCCGTGCCTGTGCGCGGACACGCCGACGCAGCGCGGCCACCGTCGCGCGCGACGGCGCGGGCGGCGCCAGCGACGCCCGCTCGACGCTAAACAAATCGTCCACGTAACGCAGCAACGCGACCCGCAACAGCTTGCGGCAGATGCGGGTGATCAACGCGCCGACCCGTTCCCAGTTGTGCACGCTGCTCACTGACAATGCAAGAGGGCGCCGCGACGGTGCGCGGGTCGCGCGCCCGCCTGAGCCGAAAGGAGGAGCCGTGTGTTGCGCGATGAGCACAGTATCGCCGTGGCGGAACGCGACCCACGCGAAGTCGCGGTCCCGTGGGCACAGCGGCACGCGGCGAAAAGCCGCGTCGATGAATAAACAAGAGGACATCTTCGCCGCCCGGTGCTTCGTGCACCGTCTGAGCGACATCGTAGAGCGAATCGATGGCGTCGTGCCGCCACTTCTCCTGCGCGCAGCCACGCGCCGGTCTGCACCCCAGCGGCGCGTACCTGGCGGCCTGGGGCTGCGTCGCTCTGTTGAGGTCGGCGGCGCTGCAATCGTCCACTGAACGTACCTGCCGCGCGAAGGGCGGCGACTGGGGCGCCGGCGCCAAGTTCGGCGCGCCTTGGGCGAGCCGTCCTCCTTGATTCCCTGTGGGGCGCCGAACCGCGGAATGACGACGGCCCCGTCTGGTGGCGGCTCGGCCGCCGCGTCGCGCGGCACTGTCAATCGCCCCAGCGCGGCGTCCGACCGCGCGGTCGCGAGAAGCGCGTCGGAATGCTGATCGCGTCTCGCGCGCTTGAGAACTTTGTCGGCAGACGTCTTGGCGCCTGCGACGCTTCGACTCATCGGCGGGTCAGCTCCGCGCGGCGCGCTTCGGGGGGCCTGCCCTGAGCTCGTCTGCCGAAATGCAGTGCTTGTGGTCGCGCGGCTCGCCAACTCCCGAGCGAGGGAGAACCCCGATCAGGGGGGCGCCCCGCCGCGGCAGCGCGGTTCGCCGAGGCGGGCCAAACGCGCACTTGCCTGTCGGAAAATTTCGACCACCTCGGCATCTGGATGGTCGCATTCGCGCGCTAGCATGCGCAGCCGCGGGCCGTTGACGAACTCGGACGCCCGCGCGACTGCGGGGTCGCAGCCGTTGAACCACCGCGCGCACTCACCAGAAGCCCAGAGCTGAGCGCCCATCTTTTCGATGCGTCTCGTGGCCGCCTCACGATGAGCAATGACCTGTACGACGCGGAGCGCGCGCGCGTGCGCGTGCCTGCCGTGCGCGAGAGGGGGGAGGGCTGCGCCTCCTCGGCAGGCGCGGACGCGGCCCACTCGGCGGTCGCGCGCACGTCGTCCCTGATCGAGGACTCGCGCGCGAAGCCCTCGCGGCCCAAGTCAAGAACGGACTGCGTGAAACGCAGCTTGGCTTCATCGCCGGCGCTTGCACGCGCCCGCTTGGCCCAGCCGCGGGCGTCGCCCACGCCGGCGCGGGCGCGTTTAGAGAGACACGTCATCTCAGAACGCTGCGAGGCGTCGCGCGTCGTGAGCTGGCGCCGAAGTGCGCGCGAGATACGAGAGCACGCGCCGGCGCGGGAAACGGGAGCACGCGCCGGTCACCAAATGCACGACGCAAAACACAAACACGCCCGCGCTAGGTCCCGGCGGGCTCGTCTTGGCGAGCGGGCGGCCCGAAGCGGCCCGCTTCCCCGCGGCCCGAAGAGCCCAAGCTGTCACGGGCGAACGGGCGGCGGCGCCTGTGGTGGCGCACCATTCTCAATCAGCGCGAGCGCTTCCACTTGCCGTTGCCCCAGCTGCTTTCTGCCGGGCGCTTCCCCCACGACGTCTCGCCGCGGCTCCCGCTGCTGCCCGCGGCGCTCCACGTGCCGCCCGTGTCCTTGGCCCGCCGAGGGGGCGTGCCGCCGCCGCCCTTGCCCGCGCCGCCGCGGGCGGAGCTGTTGCCCGCACTCTTGCCGGCGGCTTTGCCGGAATCGCCCGCCTACGAAGCAATGCGTGCGGGCGCGAAGCATGAGATGGCTTGCAGATGGCCGTCCCAGTCTTCTCGGCACGGTCGTATTCGTTCTCCGCAACGCGCAAAATAGTATCACACAGAGTCAGCGCGGCCTCGTTGACCTGCCGCGGCGATGGGCGGCGCGCGCTCGGCGCCGCGGGCCGACGCTGCGCTGGCGCGCCTGGAAGCCGGGGATGCCCGCCGCCGTCTTCTCCGCCCAATCGCGGCGGGACGTGCTGTCGCATAGCAAGCCGAGGTGCGACTTGCGCCCCTTGAGAGGCGCATTCAGGGCGACCTGCGCCGACGCTCTGAGGACAAACGCGAGCACAAGCGGCGGAACGAGCGTGCCTTTCAGCAGTTCTGCTTGTGCGCCAGGGCCGCGATGAAGGCCATCTGCCCTGTCGCGGCCGCGGCGATCGCGTACCTGGCGGAGCGCGGCGAGCGATACTGGTCGCGCGATGCGCAGCCCCCCCCCCCGCGCTGCGGCACGCGTCGATCGCTAGGTGCCAATGATCCCATGACAGGAGGCTCTCTCCCTCGGCGCGCCCGTCATTGCGCGCGGGCTCCATGCCCAGCAGAACCCATTGACGGAGGTCAGCGTACATGAAAGGCTTTACGAGGCCTTTCTTCTCCAACTTCGCGACCTCGGAGGCCTGCCCGTCGACGCGGGCGGCCCTATCGAGCGCGCGGTCGAAAGCGGGTTACGCGCGCTCGCCTGGGCCACAGCGCCGGCGAGAGATTGTCGAACTTGATATCCTTCAGCCTTTGCCCCACGTCCACGTGGACGGCTGGGGCGCCCTCTCTCTTGAGCAGGCGGGAGAGTTCGCCTATCGCGTCGCCCCCGGTAGCTGGGCCCGCGCCGCCTGGCGCCCTGCCCTCGTGCGCCAGCGGGCAAAGCGCTTCTTTGCGACCTGCGCAGGACTCGCCGCGCGGCGTCGCGGCGGCGCCGGGGCGAAAGCGCGCCGCGACCTCGATGGCGCCAGCGAGGGCGTGCCTCTTCCCTGCGCTGGGGCGCGGCTCGAGCTCGCCCATGGCGACGGTTGCGAGCGCGCGGGGGGTCAACAC